AAGCACTGCCTGCCACCCTGCCAGCTTCATTGAGATCTGTCTTTGCTATCCCTGTGGGCTTTAGTTCTCACTTCAGATTCTTGCTGGGTCCTGTGGACCCACTTCCCTCCTCCTCTTCCACACATTGCTGTACTTCAGCACCTGGACACCAAATCTCGGAGAGGCTGTTTCTCTGCTGCTCACCACTCCGTCTTCTTGGATGTCTAAATGCCGTATTTCCAAATTGGGGCTTCCATGTGATGGTTTCTGAAGTCACAAAGTATGTGTTTAATTTCGAATAGTTTCTTATTTTCAGATTCTCCTGGACAGTGTAAATGACACAAGATGAGTGTTTTCCAAACTTAGGCAAGCACAGAATCATGTAGAGGAGTTGATAAACCAGACTGCTTGCTGGGCCCTGTTCTGAGTTTCTGACTTAGTAGGTGTAGGGTTATACCTGAGAGTTTGCATTAACGTACATTTTTTAAAATTAAAATTTAAATTTTTTAGGGAAGGGTCTATAGGGTGTTCAGGGTCTCAATGCTAGATCAGACTCGTAGCGATTAACCTGTTTACAGCCCCCAAAGATCTGGCATAGGCGCATGCCATCACACCCAATCTCATTCTGCACATACTCTTAGCAGATGCTGATGTTGCTGGTTTGGTGACTACATTTGGAGAATCATTGGCTTACACCAACATAAACTTCTATGCAGATCTGATTATATTCTATAGTAAAACATAACTTGCAGCTCAGATTCCATGGAGATAAAATCTTATAAACCTAAGTGGCTAAAAGGTCATGTATTATGCTAATGAAGAAGAGCTCCACTAATGGAGAAGATTTTTATTGTTACTTTGTAATTTTATTATAGTCTTTTTCTCAAATGAGTATTAGGAATTTCAGGTTCAGGATCCTGGTTTTTCTGAAGCTTAAGCAAGGGAAAGGGACAGTATTTGTTATAGTGTAGTGTTTATAGTCATAGGAGAATCTGCTTATGATGAGGCTTTTATTACAGTTAGAAAAATGTTTTATTGAGGGACTTGTGATTTCCATATTTTGATTAATTACAATGTTGACTGGATAATCTAGCTCACAGTTTTGAGGACCACAGTGGCCAAGAAACTGTGATCTACTTGTTGATAATCTCTTAATTTGAGGTTTTTATGAGTTCCCCCCCCCACCTTCTCAGCAAACCTATATTTTGTTTTAGTAATAGACCTCCCTTTAAAAATCTTTAGAAAAAAAAATTAAAAAAAAATTTGTTACAGGGTCTCACTAAGCAGCTTAGGCTCATAGTGATCCTGCTATCTCAGCCTTCCCAGTGCTTGGATTACAGGCATGTGCCACCACTTCTGATTCCAGGCTGGCATGGCATGCGATACTAGGGATTGAACTCGGGTCCTTGCACTTGCCAGGCAGGCACTTAGACCACCGAGCTATCTCCCTAGCCAAAAGTCTTTGAAATTATTATGGATTACAATCTAGAAATATGTTAATAATAATACAAAGTCAAAGTAAATAGATATTTGAGTTCAGTAAAATATATTGATTATATTTTTATTGAGCCGAAAAGATTTTTTTGTATACTCTTGACAGAATGCTCATAGGGACTGATTTTTCCATTTGCTTTTACCCATTAACCTTATTCTGGTCATTAATGTGTAACAGATTAATCCAAAACTTAAAATCTTAGAGCCTCCTTTTTGAGGCAGGGTCTCCCTATGTAGTTTAGCAGTTCTCAAGTTGTCTGTCCTCAGACTTGTTATTCTCCTGCCCTAGTTCCAAGTGCTGGAGTTACAGCTGTGGTGCTACCTTTTCTAAGTGCCCTTAACTGTATTTTGCTCAGAGGTTGTCTGTCAGGGATTCAGATAGGACACAAAGTGGGGTTGATGTCTCTGTTCGTGATGCCTGGGAAAGGGGATAAGACTTGCTTACCCACAGGTTCGGGGAGGTGAGAGGATGGCTTGAACACAAGATTGGTGACCAGGGCTCTTATTGTTTTTTTATTTTTATTTTTGGCAGAACCGGGGATTGAACTCAGGCCCTTGCGCTTGTCAGGGAAGCGCTTATTCCACTGAGCCATCTCCCCGGCCCCTGACCAGGGTTCTTAAATGAGGCCTTGGGGTTACCAGATTTCTTGTACAATGGCTCAGGAATCCAAACAAGACAGAGACCCCATTGCTTTCTTAACCTTGGGAAATCATACAGCATCTCACAGTGCCAGAGTCGGCTGGATGAATCCCACTCAGGAAGAGTGGCAAGGCAATCGTAAGAGTTCTGAGTGGGAAGTGCTGAGGTCATGTTGTACAGTGAGGTCATGTCAGGCCACAGGCAGAGCAGTTGTCTTTGGAAAACGTACCTGCTGTAAGTAGTATGTTGAGGACTAAATTTGTTCCTGTATAGAAAATTGTAACTTTCCCGCTATTGGATAACTTGTACTATTATTGATTAGTGTAGCTCATACTGAAGGATTATTGTAAGTGAAATCCTGAATTGCCAAGTCTGTTAATCTTTGACATCTTTTATATGGATAGAATTATAGTTGTTTTTATTAAATATATACATTGCAGAGTATAAAGCAAAAGGAAAGTAGTTCTACCACTTAAAATTCTACTTCATAGGTCCCATCTCTTTTTTGAGACAGAGTCTCACTGTAGCTTAGGCTGTCCTTAAACTGACTGTGTAGCACAGGCTGGCTTTGAATTCTTGGCGATCCTCCTGCCTCAGCCAACTGAGTGTTGGGATTACAGGCTTGTGCTGCCAGACCTGGCCATACAAGCATTTTTAGGAATTTGATTTAATAATCTATATAGATAAGGTTGACAAACTGTACCCTGTGAGGATATATGCTCACTTTGTATTTTTTAGGTTTACCAATAAATAAGAGATAATGCATGGCAGATATATAGATAAAAGCTCGTAAGTTCCCTCTCTTAGTGTACCGAATTTAGAATTTTTGTAATATCCCTGAATTGTAGGCCCTACTGAATCCTCTTTCTGAATTGAATTCTGACTATTAATACTATTTTGGATATCCTTTATTTGGAGCAGAGCTACATAGCTCAGACTCATAGTGATGCTCCTGTCTCAGCCACCACAGTGATGGGATTACAGGCGTGCACCACCAGTGCCCAGTTTTGGTGGCCAGCTTGGTGCAGGGCCAGCATGGCATGCAGTACCAAGAATCGAACCTGGGTCCTTGCACTTGACAGGCAGGTGGTTAGACTACTGAGCTAGTTATCTCCCTGTCCCGTATTTCTTTCTCTTAAAAGACTAGCCTATTCTTTTTAAAAAAGTGAATGATGAACTTTGTTGGTCTTTATTTTTGAGCTAATTGTGCTTACCTTTTGTATTTGGGGTTGCACTTGCTAGGTGAATGTAGAACTTATTTTTCAATCAGTATAGTTGGATTTTATATTTATCCGAAGCCTTCTGTATTGTGTGAAATAGTTCATCTAAGAATACAACTGGATGCTTTCATTAGCCTTATTTTAGAGATTATTTTGATTTTTAAGTAGTTATGGTGGGCTTTCTAATTTAGGGTATAGTGATTATTTATTATGCAAGTTGACTTTTGTTTCTGTGTGAAGATAATAGATTATTTGGTCTAAAAAAACCCTTAATACCAGCCAGGCATGGTGTTACACACTTGAAATCCTAGCACTTGGAAGACTGAGGCAGGAAAATTGCCAAAGATGGAGTGCAGCCTGGGCTACAGTGAGCTCAAGGCCATTCTGAGCTACATAGCAAGACCTTGTCTTAAAAAGACAAAACAAGATAAAACATCTTCCCGACACTGCCATTGCTTTTAACCTACTTTCAGAAGTTGTGAATGTCCTTTAAATCAGAGGTGTACTTTGACGTAGTCTGTTAATTTTAAGTTTACATGTTCATAATTGTGATTACTTTAAATATTTTCCTCTTAAATTAGATTTCCATTCCTTATCCTCCCGACCCATACAACAGCAACTGAACTTCTGATTCTTTGTGTTTTTTTGGAGACAGAACCTTGTTTTATATTCAGGCTGGCCTTAAACTCACTATGTAGCCCAGGTTGCTCTCAAAGAGGATCACTGTGATCCTCCTGCCTCAGCCTCTTGAGCACTGGGATTGTAGGCAGGGGAACATCATGCCCAGCAAATTTTTGATTCTTAGATTACCTGAATATCTTTTAGGGAGGGGTTCTTATAGAACAGTAGCCTAAGATACCATTGAAATTTTCATCTTAACAATTAAAACTGTTCCTTTTTATTGTTAAGATGAAAGAGGGTAGTTTTCTGCCTGCTTCCCTTGTCAGTGAATCTGTTGACTAGGGTATTGCTCATAGGCATAATGTTACCTTGTACATATCTTGTGTTCAAGATAAATGGGTTACATATATCAAAGAATCTGCCCATGGGTTTATTGAGGGAATTTTATTTTAAAAAGTTTTTGGGTTTTGAGATGAGGTCTTGCTAGGTAGTCCAGGCTGGCCTTGAGTTCACTATGTATGTAGCCCAGCCTGACCTCAAATTCCTGTAGATCCTCCTGCTTCAGCCTCATGAGTGCTGGGACTACAGGTATGCATCTAGATTTTCAGGAAAATGTACTTTTTATAGTATTTATTTGTATGATTTAGAAGAAATTGAGAGAGGAGGAGAGTAGCACTTAAATTAAGTGTTAATGCCTGATATGCTCATTTGAGTATAAGCAGAATATCGGCCAAATTGTGGTCCTCATCCATGTGAGTAGGAGCCATATTCCTGGCCTAGTTGATGAATATCATTTTTGAGTATTTTAAGCAATGTTGCTTCATAGGGTTGTAAATATTTTTGGAGTATTTAAATTTATATTTTAGTTCATTGTTAGACCTAACTATGTGAAATATATTACTTAAGCAATAATGTTTAAAAAGTACTGTGTGTTTAAGGCACAATTTGAGACAAGTTTAGGAGATTGCTTGGGTTGTCCTTTTAGTGTGATTAGGTTGCTACGTGTCTTCAGTATGTAATGCAGTTCTTCTTTTCTTTTGATACAGGGTAAGCTTGATGATTACCAGGAGCGGATGAACAAAGGGGAGAGGCTTAATCAAGACCAGCTGGTAAAGATGTTGTATTTTATTAAAGATTTTATGTAGTTTTAATAAGAAAATTAATTTGTGGTTCTTCATGTTTCTAGTAAAATAGAGTTCTGGTTTTGTATTTTAGGATGCTGTATCTAAGTACCAGGAAGTCACAAATAATTTGGAATTTGCAAAAGAATTACAGAGGAGTTTCATGGCATTAAGTCAAGATGTAAGTAAAAAATGCTATATTTCTTCATGAATTACTAAAAATAGGGAAGCTTGTATTGCTTCCTGGGGTTTCAGTCTTTCAGTTTCTGTTGATGTATTCTGCAAAGTGAGAAGACAGGACCCAATAATATCTTAACATGCCTTCTGATTCTGTATAGTTTTTAGCACAATACCTGAAAGATGTGTTTTCGAGACAGGATCTCACTACATAGTTCAGGCTGGCCTTGAGCTCTTTGTAGCCCAGGATGGTCTTAAACTTCAATGACCCTCCTGCCTCAGCCTCCCGAGTGCTGGTGCTACAAGCATGTGTGCCACCAGATCTGGCAACAGCCTTGTTTATATGTCTAATAATCACTCTCCCAAAGGAATCTTAAGGGATATGGCAGACTGATAACATTCACTGCTCTTACGTGAGCTCTGAATCCAGTGTGATGGTGGGTTTTCCCTAAGTACCTTACGATGTGACAAAATTCACTAATGAGATAAAAGTAAAGTATAAGTAAGGTTAAAGAATTTGTTGAGGTGAGAAAGTAAAGTCTTCTCAATAAGTATCAGTTTTATTTGAGGAAATGCTAGTACATTGTGACACAAAGTTGCCACTAACTTTGTTGTTGTTAAAATCCAACTCAGGACCTTGTGCATCTCCCTGGTCCAAAGCAAAGTTGCAGTGCAGTTTAGTATGATACTTATTTTCTGAAGCTACTAATATTGTAAATTGAAACATGTATATCCTTCATTTCTGTCTCCCTTTTTCTGCCTCCAGCTACTAATAAAAGATATGTAACCCATAAGGCACACACCCCAAGACTGGAAGGCTTTTTTTTTTGGTCTGTTTGAGACAGGGTCTCTCTATGCAGTTCAAGCTGGCCTTGAGCTCACTTTGTAGCCAAGATGGTCTTGAATTTGCAAAGATCCTCCTGCCTCAGCCTACCAGATCATCTGTTTTAATAGATGTCTGCCTGTCACATTTTCCTTCAAAGAGCTCTTGACATCTTAGCTTAGAGAGCTAATTCCTGTGCAGCTGCTGTTTATCCACACTGCATCGAATGCTAAAGTAGCACTCCCCCACTCTGCTGCCATTGCAGATTTGCCTTATTGTTGCATCTTTTTCTTTGTTCTTCTCAGGTCACCTCCATTTCTCTTTTTATTTTATTTATTTATTTGTGTGTGTGTGTGTGTGTGTGTGGCCAGCTCAGCCCACCAGGGGGCGGGCTGGCTGGCATGTGGTGCTGGGGGATCAAACTGTGGTCCCTGGGTTTTTGCTAAAGCTTGTTCTAAGTAGGTGCTTTAGACCACTGAGCCATCTCACCAGCCCCTCCATTTCTCTTCATTTGTCTGAGTTTGATTTTCTTTGAGTTCATCCCAGTAAGCTTGGGAGAGGGGAGTGTTGGAAAGAAAAGGCAGCCTCGGCTGTTGGGAAGGCTGACCCTTCTCTGCTCTATGCTAGATGAATTTGACTGAGGCTTTCTCAGCCTTTTGCGGAAAGCAGGGAATAGTGGGGAAAGTAAATTAATATTTAGCTTTATCTGTCTTTCACTGCCACTTTTACTCTGCCAACATTCTTGTTTGTGAAGGCAGGTAACCTCTAGTGACTGTTTCGTTGGGATAGGTCTCTGGTACAAGCAGTGGATTGTTTGGGGTATATTATTCCATAGTTAGCTTTTCAGTAACTCTTGCACACATTCTAGAGAAATATGTGCTTTAGATTTCCAGCAGTGAAACCGTACTTTCAGTTTGGGAGTTCTCCTTTTTGTATTAGGTTTACATCTTACTCATTAGGTGAGATACATCTTATTTGCCCCTCTATGTCTGAACTCTGCCTCAGCCCAGCCTGAAGTAGATTGAACTTAAGTGAGCTGTTAACCTCTGCCAGGTTCCTCTTACTTAAAGGTGAGTAGTTTTAGTTAGGTTGAAAACCTTTCTAATACTCCTAGTGGGTTCAGGGCAAGGAGGTAGTGCTAGGTCTTGATGTCTCCTTGTCAGCTAGCTAGTACAAGTTCAAACTTTGGTGTATTGTGTTTACATTCTTTAACAGATTCAGAAGACGATAAAGAAGACAGCACGTCGGGAACAGCTTATGCGAGAAGAAGCTGAACAGAAACGTTTAAAAACTGTTCTTGAGCTCCAGTATGTTTTGGACAAATTAGGAGATGATGAAGTACGAACTGACTTGAAACAAGGCCTGAATGGTATCCCAATCCTGTCTGAAGAGGAGCTATCCTTGTTGGATGAGTTCTATAAGTTAGTGGACCCTGAGCGGGACATGAGCTTAAGGTATGCAGTGTTTGATGATAGAAACTTGTAAATACTACTTTAACTGGGCAAGTGACATTTCATTCATAATCTTGTTGTTTTTTATTGTAAGGTTAAATGAGCAATATGAGCATGCCTCTGTTCACCTGTGGGACTTGCTGGAGGGGAAGGAAAAATCTGTATGTGGGACAACCTGTGAGTATCATAGTTAAGTTTGATTTTGTAAGTAAAAATTGTAACAGTTGATTGGGTGATATTTTTCTTACCATAGTATTTTGAATAATGCTGAACTTTTTTTTTTTTTTTGATACTGGGAATTGATGAACTTTTTTTCAAGCCTAGTATTGTCACATAGTCTAACATTCTAGTTTTTGTTCATTTCTAGATAAGGCTCTAAAGGAAATCGTTGAGCGTGTTTTTCAGTCAAACTACTTTGACAGCACCCACAACCACCAGAATGGGCTATGTGAGGAAGAGGAGGCAGTGTCGGCACCTGCGGTGGAAGACCAGGTGGCGGAAGCTGGTGTGTTCTCAGCTGCCCTTCATTGGCTATGAGTTCATTGCTCAGTTATTACGGTTATACCTTTAGAGTTTTAAGAGACTGAGTGAGAACAGAACCACACCAAGAGTAACACCATGTAGGAATCATAATAGGGCAGTTATTTGGAGGCCTTGGTTGTGGTAAAACTGGGAGTTCTCTTGTTTGTGGGAGTATGGGGCAGGGCAAGTTGTTGGAAGATTTGGTTTGGTTTGTTTTTGTCTTTGAGACAGGGTTTGGCTGTGCAGTTCGGGCTGGCCTTGAGCTCACTTTGTAGCACAGGCTGGTCTCAACCCACAGTGGTCCTCCTGCCTCAGCCTCCTAAGTGCTGGGATTACAGGAGTAAACCACCATGCCTGTCTGAAAAAGACTTTAAAATAGGTTTTGGTCTGGTACTCCCATGTTTATCACGATGTTATGCAAAATGATTTCTTTTTTAATCCTAGGTTAATGTAACTTCATAAATTGTTTTATTGAGAAAGGGAAGGGCTGGGGAAATGGCTCAGTGGAATAAGCACTTCCCTGACAAGCGCAAGGGCCTGAGTTCAATCCCTAGAGGGAGTTCACGGGCCAGCCAAATAGCTCAGTGGGTTAAAGCGCCTACAGGCGTAGGGGCCAAGGGATCACCAGGGGTTTGATCCCTTGGGGACTAAGGTGGGGATTGAGACTGGGTGTGGTGGTGCATGTCTGTAATCCCTATACTTAGGAGACTGTAAACAGGAGAATCACTATGAATTTGATCTGAAAGGAAAAAAATAGAGTTCAAACTGGCCTTGAAATCACTATACAGCCTTGACTTGGCAACCCTCCAGCCTCAGCCTCCCAAGTGTTGAGATTACAAGTGTACATTACCATATCCCATATAATTTGATAATCTGGAGTTAAAATTGTACAGTAGCATGAGGTCTTTCGATTTTAATACTTGGTGCAACACATGTTGATCACATGCATTATAGGGAATTTGTACCTGTATGTGATACATCTTTTTTTCCCACTCCTCTTCTTTGAACCACTCTTCTCTTCCTTGTTTACAAAAGCTTTGGGTACATTTTTTCCTTTTTATTCTTTTTTTTTTTTTTTTGATGGAACCGGGGATTGAACTCAGATCCTTGTGCTTGCCAGGGAAGCGCTTATTCCACTGAGCCATCTCCCTGGCCCTTTTTATTCTTTGTCCCTTCCTGTCTTTCACTCTCCCCACTCTCATTTGGTTTCTCAGCCTTTTTTTTTTTATTATTATTTTTTTTTTTCCTTTTGAGACAGTGTACCTCAATACTTAGAAATATATGACACTTTTCCACCATTACATTGTGATATAGACTACCTTTACTGACTTAAATCTTAGGCTTTTCACCTTTCTTTCCTCATCATTTTTAATCTCTTAGAACCTGAGCCAGCAGAAGAATACACTGAGCAAAGTGAAGTTGAATCAACAGAGGTAAGATTTTTTTTTAAGCCATAGTAACGTTAGTTGTAACTTTCTGCCTTTTAAACAGATGTCTCAAACTTCTACTTTGCTTTGCAGTATGTAAATAGGCAATTTATGGCAGAAACACAGTTCAGCAGTGGTGAAAAGGAGCAGGTAGAGGAGTGGACAGTTGAAACAGTTGAGGTGAGAGTTCATATTTCTACTTGATGTTTTTGTCTTCAGTAATTTTTCTCCTGCTCCTGTTAATAATTGTCTTTGTTATCATTAGTTTACTATCAAACTCATTACACAAGACCATTGTATTTAAAAGATGATTCATTTATTCCTCTGGACGTGTATTAGAATTTTTGGTGGCTGATGTGATCATAATAATTATTTTACATAGCGTTATCTGTGGATTCCCCTGTCTCAGTGTATCAGGTTGCTCTATAAAAATCTGAGCTCTCACAACAGTAGCCTTCAGAGAAACCCACCTCATAGCAAATGTCTTAGAGTGTCATCTTGAACTCTTTCGTTCTGATGTTTTTGTACCTGGCTATAGATTTCTTTAGTGTTTTTTTTTTTTGTTTTTTTTTTTTGGTGTTGTCGCTCAGTTTATTTTCATGTCTTTTCAGGTTCTCATCTCTAGTCTATTGATTCACATAATATTTCCTTCTTGACTGCCCCCAGACCATCTTGTTTATTTTCGCAAGCTATTTGTAGAAGTTAGCTTTGATTAATATACTAGACTTCTCCTTAGCTGTTTTTCACCTATAAAATGTAGAAAGAAAAACAAGCCAGGAGTAGTGGCACATGCCTGTAATTCTCAGCACTTGGGAGGTTGAGGCAGGAGAATTGCAAGTTTGAGGCTTTCTGGCTACCTAATGAATTTAAGTCCACCCTAGGTACATAGTAAGATCTGCTTCTCCCTCCCCTGCACACCAAGAAAGAGGGGGAAAAAAGAAAGGTAAAGTCTTACAAGTTGATCTTACTAGTTTCTCCCAACCCCTATCCTCCTTCAGGTGCCTGCTTTTGTGTCTCCAAAAATAGTTTTAAAGTTTGAATAATAGATTTTTGTCTTTAAAAAATTACTCTACTCTGCTGTCAGAATCCTCCAAAGGTGGTATAAATCTCCATAAGTTGAGCTCTGTTGAAATAGCAAGATGCATTATTGATAATTTGAGTGAAGAATTGGACCATTACTCTAGAAGGATACTTGGAAACACTGGTTCATGAAACCCTAATAAACTTGTTATACGCTTGGAAATAAATAATGTGTTTTAGAAATATTACAGGACAGTTAGAAAAATAGATTAAAAAGTTCTGCAGAATAGTGGTTTATGTAGAAATGGGCCCAACCAGGTGAGCTTTGGTATGGGTAGCAGTTTGAGGTGATGGTAGCTTGATCCTAGAGTATTAGCAGAGAAATCAGAGAAACTTAAATTTTGCTGATAGTAGTGACCAGTAGTTCTCTGTGTGCACTGTATAGAAGGTATTGAAATATATATCTATATATCTATATCTATATCTATATCTATATCTCCATCCTTTGGATAGCATATAGATCCAGTTACTCTAGAATAATTTAAGCAAAATACGTTCTTTTTGGAAATTAAAACAGGTATTTTACTTTTAAAAAAATTTTTGTTTTGAAGAGTAAAAAATTCAAATAGAAACAAAGACAAACAGTAACATACAACAATACATATGGTATAGATTTTTAAAAGAAAAACAGCAAATTAACAGCAGTGGCTATGTTAGGTATTTTTATCAAAGCTGTTGCTCAGATTAACAAATAATAGGTAGTTTTTCTTCGAAAGCGTTGATAAAATAAATCTCAAAGTTACATGGTGATCTATTGGCATGAAGAACCCTAGAGCAGTGTTGGCATTGATCAGAATGCTAAGTTTGAGATAGTTTGTTGTAACTGAGTAAGGCCTGTTCTGTAGTACAGATGACATGATGTGCAGTTTGGGTACCAACTGTGGCAGGATGAATGGAGCTTGCATACTCTGCCACCACCTTCTCTCCTCCCATGTTAGGTGGTAAATTCACTCCAGCAGCAACCACAGGCTGCATCTCCTTCAGTACCAGAGCCCCACTCTTTGACTCCTGTGGCTCAGGCAGATCCCCTTGTGAGAAGACAGCGAGTACAAGATCTTATGGCGCAAATGCAGGGGCCTTACAATTTCATACAGGTGGGTACATTTTAGTGAAGTACTATAACAGAAGGTTTGAATGTGAATGCTATGTGACCTAACTGCATTATATCCTAATTTTACTTGTAGGATTCAATGCTGGATTTTGAAAACCAGACTCTTGATCCTGCCATTGTATCTGCACAGCCTATGAATCCTGCACAAAACATGGATATGCCCCAGCTGGTTTGCCCTCCTGGTTAGTGATTGAAGATAAAATGTAGGGACTACTAGTGCTTTCAGGTTTCATAAAGTTTTTGAAATTTTTTTCCTTTAATGCTTGTTTAACTTTAATCTTGTCTTTGATTAGCTAGGAGTTGTTACTTGTTTTATCTTACAATGTAAATCATAACTGTAGTTTCATAATGTTAACATTTTATTGGCGTATAGACACTGAAAAATACATGCAAATTTGATGAGTTTTCTCAAACTGAACATACTGGTATCCAGATCAAGAAATCGAACATCATTAGTGTACCCCAGAAACCTGTTTTGTCTTCCCTTTCTGTCACTAGTTACTGACCATATCCAAGTCTCCCATAACTCCATGGTAACTACCCACTTCCTTACCTGTACCACTGTAGATGGGTTACCTGAATTTTGTAATGGGCCTAAGTAAAATTTTATCTGATTCTTTACATTTCAAGATTAATCCTAGAAAAAATGCCTGTAGTCCATTATTTTGGAAGCTAAGTTCAAAGCCAGCATGGAATACATAGACTCATGTCAAAAACTGGAGGGGTTATTGCATAGGTCTTGCTTTATCTTGGTCTTAATCGTCCAGCAGAAAAGTATAAAAACAAAGTATAAGAAGTAAAGCCATGGTGTTGTGTTGAGCTGTAGGGGACTCGGGTCAACAATTTCTGACATTGCCAGTCAAGAGGAAGACCCAATACTATTACGCACTACTGGACGCTTTTAGAATATTTTGCGGAGTTAACACACCTATAATATTCAAATGACAGAACTAAACAAAAAAGGATATACAGATGAATGTCCATTTTGTATCTGTGTATTCAAAATGGTTAGGATAGATATATAGTTCATCTCTTAATGAATAGAGGGATTTGTTGTAATAGTGTTTATAAATAGGATATCATGTCTGCATCTTATACAGCAAATAACCACCAGGAAGAATGTATGCAATGTGTTAATTATTGAAAGTGTCTCATTGCTATTTGTGTCTCAATAAAATTATGGGGAAAAAAGAAAAAGGGGGCTTGGGAAATGGCTCAGTGGAATTAAGCACTTCCCTGGCAAGCACAAGGGCCTGAGTTCAATCTCCAGCTCTGCAAAAAACAAAAAACAAAAAAAAAACCTGGATGGGGAGGGGAACCCCACAAAATTAATTTAGGAGTAAAAATAAAATAATGGAGGTGGCTTTCTCTGAGTGCTTCCATTCCTATCCCCCCCCCCCCCATTTAGGACAGGTCTACATAGATTGGAATCGTGGTAGTGATTCTCCTGTTTTCAGCCTCCTTAGCGCTGGGATTACAGTTGCGCGCCACCATGCCCAGTCTCAATCTCCATCTCAGTGTGTCCCGGGGGTGGACCGGTCCCTGAGTTTGCTTAAGCAGGCGAGCTATCAGGCTGGCCCTGCTTCCATCTTTCTAGGAGAATTTCTGAACATTTTATTTCCCTTGATCAGAATGAGACATAAGAATGTGGAGTAAGAGGAAAGCTCAAGTGCAAGTTGCCATTTCTGCTCTTAATGGCCCTACAGCATTATTTGAAGTGGAGGCACTAAGCAGTGCCTTGCCTTGGGTCTGTACCTCTCTAGAAACAGTCGTGACTCTTAGTAACGTGTGTCCATGTTAGTGGCACAAAGTGCTATGTAACATTTAATTCATGTTACGTAGTCTTCAGTGTTAACAGGAAGCCACAGAGGAAGCCGTGGGCAGAAGCGTGTTCAGTGGTCCAGTTAATTTGGTAAGGTAGTTAGGAGTTCTCTGTAAAAAAGAGAGCTACTTTCTCTGTCGCTTCTCTACTAAGACTTAGAGAACAAAGGTCAAATTTCTTTAAAGCAGTCACAGTTCTTTAATGTTCATTTTAGGGACTTTATTAGAGGACAGAATGTGTAGTTTTCCCAGGTGCTTAAGTGGGCCAAGGTCAGTACTTGTGGCACTGATGCAACCTGAATGGCTGTTTAGATACTTAAAACGTATTTAGATAAAGCTGAGTCTTGTAGGCTCTCTAGTGAAAACCTGTGGTTTCTAAATGAGCTACCAGTGATTTTGGGGTTTTTTTGGTTGTTGTTTATTGTTTGCTCCTTCCCTCCCTCACTTCCTTTTTGTTGGCACTGAGAGTTGAGCCAGGACTATTAGCCTGTCAGACTGAGCAATGTCCCTAGCCCTTTTAAACATTTCTTTACTTTGAGATGAGATCTTGGTAAGCTGACCAGATGAGACTTGAGCTCGTCTGATTATAGTGTGCCATCATGCCCAGCTATAGTTGTGTATTTTTATTATTTAACTTTGGTTGTGGGGGAGGCAGGTGGGAGAATGGTTAAGAACTGCTAATAAGGTGCATAGTGAAATATAAAATATAGTCTTTCGGAAGGTATATTTATCTGTTGTACTTCCTTGTAGAAATATTTTGAGATTTTGTTTATTGATTTTGTTGAAAATTGATAATTTAACCAATAACTTGACTATGGGCAATGCTACTTGTATTGTTAAGTTCAAGTGCAGACCTGAACAGTGGTAGGAGATTTCTGTCTTTAAAACATTAAAAGAGCTAGGGATGTAGTTATTTGGAAGGCCCTGGGTTTAATTCCCATTATCAAGTCAAATCAAAACAAAACAAAATAAAACAAAAAAACAGGCTTAGTGGCAGACTCCTGTAACCCTTGCACAGAGAGGCTGGAGCGGGAGGATTGCTTCATCTATGAGGACAGCCTGGGTCTACAGAATGAGTTGAAGGTCAGCCTGAGCTATATTGAGACCCCCATCTTGACTAAAAATAAACCCCAGAATACCCTCTTCCCATAAAAACTGTCATGGGGAACCATAATACTGAATCTTCATTTTCTGTACCTCTTGGTTGAAATTTTTCACTGTCATTTTACTTTATCCCTATACCAAGTGATCTATCTATCTATCTATCTGTCTATCTTTCTTTCTTTCTTTTCTTTTTCTTTCCTTCTTTCCTTCTTTCCTTCTTCTTTCCTTCTTTCTCTTTCTTTCTTTCTTTCTTTCTTTCTTTCTTTCTTTCTTTCTTTCTTTCTTTCTTTCAGATAGTCCTGATGTGTAGTCCATGCTAGTCTTGAACTCAGCAAGTAGTCCAGGCTATCCTTGAGCCTCCCGAGTACTAAGATTAAAGGTGTGTGTCACAATGCTACAGTTGAGGATTTTAGAAATTTGCTTTAGCAGCCACATAAGAGGTTCTTAGGCATCCTTTTTTTTGTGTGTGGCTGGCTCAGCCCACCCTGGGGGCGTGGCTGGCACGGCATGTGTCAGGGATTGAACCATGGTCTCTGCATTTGCTTAAGCAGGCACTTTAGACCACTGAGCGATCTCACTGGCCCTATTAGGCATCTTTTAAGAAATTTGATTATAAATAATAA